GTTCCCTAATTCCTGGAATTCCCGGCACAGCGCCAGGGAGCTCAGCGAGGAAATGCCGGCGGAGAGCAGCTGTGGTTGAGCTGCGGGGCCGGGCATGGGGCTGCTTTGATGCATGAAAGAAGCTCAGTTGGTGCTGGGTGGGGAGGCAGCTTGGAGCTGGGCAAACACAGCCCAGCAGACAGGCCTCCTTCCAGCCCTGCCCTGGCCCCTCCCGTGGAATTTGTTCCTGCCCCAGCCAGGCAGGTGGGCGCTGTGGTAGACATGCTGGGGCGCTTGCCAGAGCGAGGAGCCAGCGGCTGTCCAATCCCCTCCCCCGCAAGCCCTTGCCTCCCACGGGAGTGATCTCAGGTAGGGGCTGCCTCTGGGCTGGGGGGAAGGACCTCTGTGGTAAGGCCTTCGTGAAGCCCAAGTGATTGCCTGCTTGCTGGGCGCAGGCGTAGGGCCCTGCCTGGGAGCACGGGCAGCACTGGGGGCCGGCGCTTGAGGAGGAGGGTGATGCCAAGCCAGGCCTGGTGCTGTGTCCCACCCCCAGCCTGGCTTTTCCCTTGGTGGGGGCTGGGGCTGGGGAGTGACTTGGGCCCCCAGCACCTCAAGTGCCCTGCCCTGGTGCATTCAGCCCCCGGTCCTGGGCTGGCCTGCTCTGATGCAGCTCTCTGCTCCCCAGCCTTTTGGCCCGAAGGCTCAGCTTGCCCACGAGGCCAGCGTGGGCTGTTCTGTGCAGAGAGGTTACAAGACTGAAACCCTTCAGCTTGGAAAGGTCTGAAGGGGGCTGGGATGGGTATTAAATCATGATGGTGGTGAAACCAATAAGGAAGTGTTCTTTGCACCTCGCCACACCAGCACTTAAGGTCTCCAAGGGAGATGAACAGGCAGCAGGTTTAAAACAAGCACAAGCAAGTACAGATTGGACCTCTCTAACCCAGCACCCTCAGTGCTGACCGGTGCCGAACCAAAGAATTTTCTGGGCCCTGGGAAGTCAGTATGGTCTAGCAGCATTACCAACGCTTCCACTGCTTACTGAGCTGTTGAGGACATTTTGGGGGCAAATTAGAGCTACACAATAGCCCAGAACACTGAGAGCCAGGACTGGTGGCTGTAAAACTGTGGGACCATGGGAAACTTGGCCATGCTCATATTAAGTGGACATCTGACTCACTAATGTCATGCCAGACCATGGCTGTTTCTGGACCAGAGAGGTTCAACCTGTATTCTCATACAATGCACTGGTAACCTCTGGAACTCCTTGCCAGGGGGTGTGAAAGTTCATGGAGGATAGGTACAGCAGTGGCTATTAGCTTGGACCAGCAGAGAGAGTGGCCCTAGCCTCTGATTGCCAGAAGCTGGGAATGAGCAATAGAGCTAGACTGCTTGCTGACTTAGCTGTTCGCACCCTCATGATCACCTGGCATTGACCACTGTCAGCAGGTAGGATACTGAATTAGATGGGCCTCTGGTCTGAACTAGTATGGCGCTTCTCATGTGAGCTGCCCCCTGTGCTGTCTGGCAGGCAAGGCCCAACCAGTAACAGCCTCAGGCATTGGGGCTGGGACCTGGCTGCAGCTGCTCTTGCCAGATGCCTTTTGTGGGGGAAGGGGTCCCCAGCTCCCGGGCTGCCTGAGCCGGGGCTTATGCTGGAGTTAAGTTAGGTGCTGGCCAAGGATAGATTGTCCCCAACCTGCCCGTGCATGGGCCTGTCTCTGCTTCCCCTCCCCCCCACCAGTGCCAAGCACAGCACTCTGACCCGCTCCGGAAACAGGCCCAGCTCGGCAGCCTGCCTTGCACTGGCGATGGGCTTCCATGGGGTTTGCTGCCTCAGGTACAGGTGGTGGCATTCCCACAGCACCATGCTGTGGAGCAGCAATTCCTACTGCACCCTCCTTTTAGGTGCTGCTGCCCAGCCTAGAACCCAGGAAGTGCTAGTCTCCCCTACCCTGGGGCTGGTTAGGGCCTGTTATCTCCTGCCCATGTGGTTTTGCTTCTCTTCAGCACTGGTGCTGCTGCAGGGCCCCATCCCATGAAACCCCTTTTGTGAGAGCACCCGCCCCTGCTGGGAGCCGAAGTCAGGCACTGGCTTTCAGTGGTGTGAAGCTCAGGTGAAAAAGCAGCCAGCAGGCCTCAGGGAAACAGACCAGAACTTTATAGAGAACAGAAGATGACAAACTAAGAAACTGGGGTGTCCCAGGGATGCACGGCTGGGGCTGTGCAGAGCAGCCTGACGTGCTGTAGCTCTTCAAGTACATCGCCATGCACTGCTGTACCGAGAAAGGGGAGCTAGCGCAGGTGCCATGGGGCTGGGGACCCCTGTAAGGTGCCTGGAGCAGTCGCTAGCACTTCCATGAGGTTCCTGGGTCTGCTGAGGAGGCAGGATGAAGGGAGGGTGGGGGGAGAGAGCTGCTGGATTAGGTCGGGGCTGTAATCCTGTCCTGCTGCACCTCCGCCCGGGCAGGAGGTGGGGAAGCCCTTTGCTACCCAGTGGCAGCAGCCTGCTGTTCTTCCAGTGCAGGAGCCATGGGGTCAGGGCCCACTTCCCGTCAGGCCCTGTGTGAGGGACCACTTCAGCCCAGGACTCCACGGCCAGGCTGGGCCAGAGGGTGCAGCTGAGCACGGCTCTCACCACAGAGCCGGTCTGCTGCCAGCCTGGGACAACGCTGCTTCCTCCTCGGAGCACCTGGCAGTGCATGGGGCAGGCAGCGGGGGGCTGTCTCCAGTGGGGCACGGGGAGGGCAGCGGGGAGGGCAGGGCAGGTCGCTATACGATCTGGTTGTTCAGCTGTCCTGGGTACTGTTCAAACCGCTTATTGGCCTCTTCGCTGAATGCGTCACCTGGAAGAGGTGAGAGATTGTAGCTGCCGGAACACCCTTGGGCAGCCGCGCAGCCAACTAGCAGGTGCCGTGTTCCTAGGGGTGGTGCGCATGATTTACTCTGCTGCAGAGGGCACATTGCTCCCTGCACTGCCCCCCAACCTGCCACAGACCAGCCAATGCCTCAGCCTTGCCCCTCGTGCCCTGCAGCCAAGGCCGCCTCCTAAAAATGCCCAGTGCTTGCACCGCCCTCGGCATTTTTTGCCACCCCTGCTGCCCATTTCGCCCAGGCCAGTATCCACACACGGCACCTTACCAATGTGGCAGCTGTGCACGCAGTTGCACTTCATGGCGTTGTTGGTGAAATCGCTCTCGGCCACCTCATAGTTGGGGTTAATCACGACCTGCCAGGACACCAACCAGAGGCTGAAACTGCCTGGCATCTACACTTGTGTCCCCTTCTCCATCCCCCCCAGGCCTCCATGCACCCCCATTTCCCTTCTCCATCCCCCCCAGGCCTCCATGCACCCCCATTTCCCTTCTCCATCCCCCCCAGGCCTCCATGCACCCCCATTTCCCTTCTCCATCCCCCCCAGGCCTCCATGCACCCCCATTTCCCTTCTCCATCCCCCCCAGGCCTCCATGCACCCCCATTTCCCTTCTCCATCCCCCCCAGGCCTCCATGCACCCCCATTTCCCTTCTCCATCCCCCCCAGGCCTCCATGCACCCCCATTTCCCTTCTCCATCCCCCCCAGGCCTCCATGCACCCCCATTTCCCTTCTCCATCCCCCCCAGGCCTCCATGCACCCCCATTTCCCTTCTCCATCCCCCCCAGGCCTCCATGCACCCCCATTTCCCTTCTCCATCCCCCCCAGGCCTCCATGCACCCCCATTTCCCTTCTCCATCCCCCCCAGGCCTCCATGCACCCCCATTTCCCTTCTCCATCCCCCCCAGGCCTCCATGCACCCCCATTTCCCTTCTCCATCCCCCCCAGGCCTCCATGCACCCCCATTTCCCTTCTCCATCCCCCCCAGGCCTCCATGCACCCCCATTTCCCTTCTCCATCCCCCCCAGGCCTCCATGCACCCCCATTTCCCTTCTCCATCCCCCCCAGGCCTCCATGCACCCCCATTTCCCTTCTCCATCCCCCCCAGGCCTCCATGCACCCCCATTTCCCTTCTCCATCCCCCCCAGGCCTCCATGCACCCCCATTTCCCTTCTCCATCCCCCCCAGGCCTCCATGCACCCCCATTTCCCTTCTCCATCCCCCCCAGGCCTCCATGCACCCCCATTTCCCTTCTCCATCCCCCCCAGGCCTCCATGCACCCCCATTTCCCTTCTCCATCCCCCCCAGGCCTCCATGCACCCCCATTTCCCTTCTCCATCCCCCCCAGGCCTCCATGCACCCCCATTTCCCTTCTCCATCCCCCCCAGGCCTCCATGCACCCCCATTTCCCTTCTCCATCCCCCCCAGGCCTCCATGCACCCCCATTTCCCTTCTCCATCCCCCCCAGGCCTCCATGCACCCCCATTTCCCTTCTCCATCCCCCCCAGGCCTCCATGCACCCCCATTTCCCTTCTCCATCCCCCCCAGGCCTCCATGCACCCCCATTTCCCTTCTCCATCCCCCCCAGGCCTCCATGCACCCCCATTTCCCTTCTCCATCCCCCCCAGGCCTCCATGCACCCCCATTTCCCTTCTCCATCCCCCCCAGGCCTCCATGCACCCCCATTTCCCTTCTCCATCCCCCCCAGGCCTCCATGCACCCCCATTTCCCTTCTCCATCCCCCCCAGGCACATCCCTACCCCCATTTCCCCCAAGATGGTCCCCCCTCTGGTCAGAATGAGGCAGCCCCAGCCCATGCCCCATCCCGAGGTTTTGTGCGAGCTGCTGGCGATTGAAATGTTAGTTGACTGGATGATACAAGACCCCCTGGCCCTGCAGTCCCAGCTCCAGGCCTGGCCTCAGCAGCTCAACCCCCCTATGACCTGGCCTGAGACGTCTCCCCCAGCTCCCCAGGGGTCCTAGCACTGCGCAGCTTTCCTGCTTCAGGCCTGCTAGGCCCCAGTTAACCCTTGGTGGACCAAACGCATGTGTGAGCAGCAGGGCTGGGGCGCAGAGCCAGTTGACTGGATGATACAAGACCCCCTGGCCCTGCAGTCCCAGCTCCAGGCCTGGCCTCAGCAGCTCAACCCCCCTATGACCTGGCCTGACACATCTCCCCCACATCCCCAGGGGTCCTAGCACTGCGCAGCTTTCCTGCTTCAGGCCTGCTAGGCCCCAGTTAACCCTTGGTGGACCAAACGCATGTGTGAGCAGCAGGGCTGGGGCGCAGAGCCTGGGCCCGGGCATAGTGGGGCGCCCCGCTGCGCCCAGCCCAGTGGGAGGGCACTATTCACAAACCAGCACTTGCCAGGCACCGGCTACGTCTACATGGGCAAGATTTTGCACAAATACTTTTAACGCAAGAGTTTTTGCGGTAAAGTATTTGCGCAAGAGAGCGTCTCCACTGGCATGTACTTTTGTGCAAGAGATGTGCTTTTGCGCAAAAGCATCCGTGCCAGTGTAGATGCTCTCTTGCGCAACAAAGCCCTGACTACTCCCTAGGACCCCAACACCCTCAAACCGTTCATCCCCTCTCAGCCCAGCCCCCCCCGCAGAACCTGCTACTCCCTAGGACCCCAACACCCTCAAACCGTTCATCCCCTCTCAGCCCAGCCCCCCCCGCAGAACCTGCTACTCCCTAGGACCCCAACACCCTCAAACCGTTCATCCCCTCTCAGCCCAGCCCCCCCCGCAGAACCTGCTACTCCCTAGGACCCCAACACCCTCAAACCGTTCATCCCCTCTCAGCCCAGCCCCCCCCGCAGAACCTGCTACTCCCTAGGACCCCAACACCCTCAAACCGTTCATCCCCTCTCAGCCCAGCCCCCCCCGCAGAACCTGCTACTCCCTAGGACCCCAACACCCTCAAACCGTTCATCCCCTCTCAGCCCAGCCCCCCCCGCAGAACCTGCTACTCCCTAGGACCCCAACACCCTCAAACCGTTCATCCCCTCTCAGCCCAGCCCCCCCCGCAGAACCTGCTACTCCCTAGGACCCCAACACCCTCAAACCGTTCATCCCCTCTCAGCCCAGCCCCCCCCGCAGAACCTGCTACTCCCTAGGACCCCAACACCCTCAAACCGTTCATCCCCTCTCAGCCCAGCCCCCCCCGCAGAACCTGCTACTCCCTAGGACCCCAACACCCTCAAACCGTTCATCCCCTCTCAGCCCAGCCCCCCCCGCAGAACCTGCTACTCCCTAGGACCCCAACACCCTCAAACCGTTCATCCCCTCTCAGCCCAGCCCCCCCCGCAGAACCTGCTACTCCCTAGGACCCCAACACCCTCAAACCGTTCATCCCCTCTCAGCCCAGCCCCCCCCGCAGAACCTGCTACTCCCTAGGACCCCAACACCCTCAAACCGTTCATCCCCTCTCAGCCCAGCCCCCCCCGCAGAACCTGCTACTCCCTAGGACCCCAACACCCTCAAACCGTTCATCCCCTCTCAGCCCAGCCCCCCCCGCAGAACCTGCTACTCCCTAGGACCCCAACACCCTCAAACCGTTCATCCCCTCTCAGCCCAGCCCCCCCCGCAGAACCTGCTACTCCCTAGGACCCCAACACCCTCAAACCGTTCATCCCCTCTCAGCCCAGCCCCCCCCGCAGAACCTGCTACTCCCTAGGACCCCAACACCCTCAAACCGTTCATCCCCTCTCAGCCCAGCCCCCCCCGCAGAACCTGCTACTCCCTAGGACCCCAACACCCTCAAACCGTTCATCCCCTCTCAGCCCAGCCCCCCCCGCAGAACCTGCTACTCCCTAGGACCCCAACACCCTCAAACCGTTCATCCCCTCTCAGCCCAGCCCCCCCCGCAGAACCTGCTACTCCCTAGGACCCCAACACCCTCAAACCGTTCATCCCCTCTCAGCCCAGCCCCCCCCGCAGAACCTGCTACTCCCTAGGACCCCAACACCCTCAAACCGTTCATCCCCTCTCAGCCCAGCCCCCCCCGCAGAACCTGCTACTCCCTAGGACCCCAACACCCTCAAACCGTTCATCCCCTCTCAGCCCAGCCCCCCCCGCAGAACCTGCTACTCCCTAGGACCCCAACACCCTCAAACCGTTCATCCCCTCTCAGCCCAGCCCCCCCCGCAGAACCTGCTACTCCCTAGGACCCCAACACCCTCAAACCGTTCATCCCCTCTCAGCCCAGCCCCCCCCGCAGAACCTGCTACTCCCTAGGACCCCAACACCCTCAAACCGTTCATCCCCTCTCAGCCCAGCCCCCCCCGCAGAACCTGCTACTCCCTAGGACCCCAACACCCTCAAACCGTTCATCCCCTCTCAGCCCAGCCCCCCCCGCAGAACCTGCTACTCCCTAGGACCCCAACACCCTCAAACCGTTCATCCCCTCTCAGCCCAGCCCCCCCCAGAACCTGCTACTCGCTAGGGCCCCAACACCCCAAAACGTCCGTCCCCTCTCAGCCCAGCCCCCCCCGCAGAACCTGCTACTCCCTAGGACCCCAACACCCTCAAAACGTCCGTCCCCTCTCAGCCCAGCCCCCCCCGCAGAACCTGCTACTCCCTAGGACCCCAACACCCTCAAACCGTTCATCCCCTCTCAGCCCAGCCCCCCCCCAGAACCTGCTACTCGCTAGGGCCCCAACACCCCAAAACGTCCGTCCCCTCTCAGCCCAGCCCCCCCCATGGGAGGAGGGGGGCAGCTCCCAGAACTTTGCCCCTCTCCAGACATCCTGCAGGCTAACGA